GCCTCCCCAGCCCCGCCTCGGCCGCAGCGTCCCCGCGGCGCAGTCCCACCTCCTCCACATAGGCCGGCGGGTCCCGCTTGATCAGATTCTGCAACTGCGGCAGGTTGCTGGGGAGCTTGTTGTTGTTTCTGTTGGACATGTTGGCTGCTGACGGGCTCCGGCGGCGAGCGGTTTTAAAAGAAACCTACAGCGCGGCCGACGGCCAACCTTCCCAGCCGCGGCTGGGAACCCTGCTTCCGAGTACGACCGGAAACAGCACGAGGGACGCTCCGCAGGCGGCGCCATCTTGGCTCTTACCGCGAACTCGGCTACGGGAGCCTCGGAGCGTCAAACTTCCCTGCGCTGCCGTAATGCTCGGTGGCGGCTTTTACGACGTTTTTACGCCTCGGCCGACGGCCGCGGCTCTCGGTGGTTTCCCAGACGCCCTGAAACGCCGAGGCGGTTTCCACACACGTCCGTTTATTTCGCCACCCCCACGCGCTCTTTTGAAACAGATGAGGATTACTAGTCTGCTTGGTTTTTACAATCCCACAGCCTGAAGTTAGAAGCTAACGATATCCCCGGGGAGTGGCGGGCACGCTCCTGGCTTAAGGAGCCGCGGGAGGCGTACACTGGGGAGGCTTCTGCTGGGTTTAACCGCCGTGACCCAGGTAAGGGGAGGGCTGCGGACTGGACGAAAAGTGTAGTGTTTGGTTTAAAGTGCAGATTAACTTGTACTTAAATGTCAGTCACTATGATACATTTGTGAGTACTCTCCGGCCAGAATTTTACATTTAGATGCTGGCAATCCGGAGAGAATACGGTCATGCAGCCTCCGTGCAAAAATAAACACGTGGTGAATGCGTGCGTGAGGTAGGGTGCTGGTGACGCGAATACGCTTGACCCAGCCGCCCCGTGCCGGGCCCTTGGCGGGACTAACTCCTTTAGTCCCCAGGACAGCCGTCCAAAGTAGGTATTGGAATTATCCGCACTTTACAGGCGAGGAAACAGCCCCCGACCCGTGGCCGCCCAAAGTCAGCTGGCGAGGCAGCTGGGGTTTCAGCCCAGGCCCCTTGATGGTAACAGGGAGGAAAGGAGAGAGGAGCCTGGCAGCTGGCAGCTGGCCACTCAGTTGGTATTAGTGCGTGCACAGGGGTGTTCCCCTGCTTGAAATAAGCAATTTCTCAGAACACCAGCTTCAGGCAAGGTCATCTGTAACCCAGCCAAAAACAAGGCGACTCTAGTCACATCTGAGCGCACACAAAATCAGGAATGCTGTGCGAGCCACCATCCGTTTTTCAGCTGCATTTTGGAAAATGACTTCTATTTATTAATCATTGAATCAAGTACTTGTGTAGTTATTAAGAAATGTAAACAATAATATTTAAAAACATTCATAAATACAATTTTAAAAAAATGGTTCAGTTGTGTTCGTGAGGGAAAAAAGCATTCTCAAAGCAAAATATGTTGAAATTCTTTAATATAATTCCTGTCAAAATCATAAGCTTATGTGCTGTGAATATTCATCTGGAGCTACCAAAATGTGACTTGTGAATAAAACACTCAGGCTATGTTACAGGCTTTTATTCACAATCAATATGTCAGGTAGGTGCTAGGATACAAAAATAAATAAGGCGTGGGCATTTGCCCTCAAGAAACTCACAGATTAATAAGGGAAACAACTAGATTAACTCATTTAAAGTGAATAAAAGGTTTCTTACAATAGATCAATGGAAACAATAGAGAAGACAAACCAGCCTAGAAGAATCAGAATGTTTCAAAGTTTTTGGTAGTATCTGATTGAAATCCTGAAAGATGAGGACTTGTTCTGCAGGAGGGAAAGAAAGACTCTCTAGATAAAGAAAATAGCCTATATAAAGGCACAAAGGCTCAGAAGTCTAGTGGATTTAAGGAATGGCCAGAAGTTCAGTGTTACTGAAGGTTGGAAGGGGAGCGTACAGCAGAAATGGAGATAAGGAGAGTGAGTTGGGATAAAAGGCTTTACATGCTAGTCTAAGGAGGGCATTTATGTCAGCTCATTTTACCCCAAAACACCATGAAGGCGGGGGTTTGTTTTATACATAGATGAAAAAATTAAGGCTGAGAGTGGCTAACTGAATACTGTCAGCCATCCATGTCCATGGGTTCCTTATCCTTGGATTCAACCAACCAAAGATGGAAAATATTTGAAAAAAGTGTTGTGGTGGTGTTGACATGTTCTACGTAGCTAATTACATATGATGGTTGCATCTGTAGTAAACATGGACAGACTTTTCTTGTATCATTTCCTAAGCAATATGGTATAACAACAATTTACACTATTAGTTATTGTGAATACTAAAGAGGTGATTTAAAGTATATAGGCGGATCTGTGTCGGTTATATGTAAATACTATGCCGTTTTACATAAGGGATTGGAGCACCTATGGATTTTGGTATCTGCAGGAGGTCCTGTAACCGATCCTCTACATATACTGAGGACAGCTGTATGTATTTAGAGTGATTTACTTCAGATGCATTTTTTAAATGGTAAATAATGGCTATATTATGTGTAATGTGATGTGCATATGTTTAATATATATTAGCCAGATTGACACCATATTCATTTCTATATTTAGTCTTGATTTGGCAAAGGAAATTTCCATCTTTTTCTGATCCACAAATTGTTTTTAACCTGAAGTTATTCTAGAAGAGAAAATATCCTTTATACCTTTGCAAAGGAGACCCTATTATAATTATAAAGTGGATCATAATATCTGAACTCAAATGGATTAAAAATGTTTTTATTGAAGGAGCCTAGACTAGGGGGCTTGAGTGTTGTCTGTCATTCTGCACTAGATTATGAGTTTAATGAGGATTTTGTCTTGCTCACTGCCCTATCCACATTTGGAGCAACGCATGGCAAATAGTAGGTAATCAGTTAATATCTGTCAAATGAATGAGTGAACCACCTCTAGTCTCTTCCAATCCTTCAATAGCGTGACTTGTTTGTGGAGAGCAGCTGAACCTGGAGGCTGGCCGGGACTCGGGCAGGAGCAAGGCTGTGCCCTGAAGACCCTGAGGGACCTTGTCCGGGGCAGAGGCAGAGCCGTGCTAGATACAGGTTCCCCCGTCCATTGTGTAGGCTGACATGCTGGCTTGAGCAGAGCTATGCTTGCGTGCAACATGTCCTGCCAAAGGCTAGGACATGTGATCAGCCAAAAAACAGTCGGGTGCCAGCTTCCATGTACAGTGGGTGCAGCGTATAACAACAGAAAATCCCCAAGATGTTGTTCTGGGCACAGCAAAGCAGTATGTTCTGAGAAAGCTTGCCAAGGGATTGTGTTTGTCCCTTTCAGCTACCTGCAGTTTCCTTGAAGAATTGTTACCTTGATGTGTATAATAAAGACGCTGATCTTACTTGGGGTCACTGTCTCTCCATCCAAGGGCAGTGTCCCACCCGGCCCCAGCTTTAACTGTCTTCTAGGTCTCTGTGTATTTCTTAATCTCCCGTCGCTCTCTCTCAGGATCCCCCACTTCCCCACGAGGGTCGTGGCACTTATTAAAGTAGGAAATTAAAACATCTGAGACATCCACAGTTGAAATCTCAAAATCAGTAGGTAACTAATATGTGAATCCTAGTTATTGTCGCTCTCACTAGAAACCAATGATATTGACTATGTTCAGAAAAGTCCGGCAAGTGTATATTTCTAGTAAAAATATATTGTTTTTAAAAACTTAGTGTAGCCACTAGAGGGAGCCCGTGCTTTTCTTTTTAACAAGAAAATGATAGCTTTTTGCAAAATGACCACATACCAGAAGAAATTTTAGTTCTTTTGAAGGCTAGTTTAATTTCTTACTGTTCTTTCTTCTTGCCCCCCTCTCCCCGCCCCCCCCCTCCAGCTTCATGTGAGTTTTGCCCCCAGTTCCTTCTATCCTTTCCTCTCTGCGGACAGTGAGTTACTGGGTCTGCCTTTAGACAAATCTGTCAACTCCAAGCTCAACAGGGACTAGTTCCATCATCTTTCTTTGATTTTTTTCCCTCTTAAACCATCATAGCCAAGTTCTTAAAGTCAAAATGTCTCTCAAGAACCATTTAATGGTTTTATTTTCTGTATCTTTACACTTAAAACCTCAAAGCATGGTAACGTCTTGGTTGGCTGTGAAAGGTCTTTAATCATTTTGTGAATGGAGAGGGGACAACTAGCTCCTTTGGTGATAGACTGCCACACCGGATGTCATTATTTAACCTCACGAATGGATGGCAGGAACAGCTTGCCCTTATTCTTTTGCCAAATTTCTTGGGCGTGTGGGATGAACCTGGTGCCTCTCACTGCTTTGTTCTGTATGATCTGCTGTTACTACAGGATTAATTTAGACTATGTAAAGACTATTAATGTGATTGAGTTTGGGTGTTCCTGATTTTCACTGTTACGGCAACTCTATAGGAAAATTACCATCCTGGGACCCAAGATCTTCTAATACCATCGTATACTTTTTCTGTCTCATGGGAAGTGTGGTAGGTTATGGCTAGCGTTTTAAATTTTATTTCTAAGACAGGTATGTGAGGATTTGTTGGTCCCTTTTCAGAAGACAAGTTACAACGTGGGAGAGAATGGGTAATGTGTATAAATTCCCTATTTCTTTCTTTGCTTACAAATCATGCTTGCTTGCTTTTGTATTTCTAGAAATTATTATGAAGAAACTGGTTCCTCTGTAACCCAAATGATATGAAAGTTGTGGTGAGAGGTCCTCAAGAATTCTATTTACTTCAGGAAATAAAAGTGGTGAGAACAACCCCCGTCCCCCTGGAATGTGCTCCTGGTTATACTCTCCTCCCGGATTTCATTACAAAAGGAACAGCATCCCCTCTGTTGTCTGCCCCCAACCTTCGAGACCCACAGGGGTAACTGGACAATTAGAGGAACTTACCTTCAAGGAGAGGGATGGAGCAATGTGGGAACTACCTGGACATTATGTGGCATTACATTTGATAGAAAATAAAGAATGAAATCCATTTGGAGTCTTCTGATTTCCTTCTCATTGTTAATGAAATAACTTAAGCCCAGAGAAGAGCCCTTTTCATATTCTGGCAGTCCTAAACTAGTTACACATGGAAGTTATTTTAAAATATGAATATATTTAAAGGAGTACAGGGAGCATTGCTATAAAAGGTGGCCAAGTTAAGCCATCGGGTATCTATTAAGCAAAAACTGTGGTATACCGAACAGACCATGAAAGGGGATAATGTTTCTGGGGAAACCTTAGAGAAACCTTAGAGATCATAGTCTCTCATTCTTCAGCTTTCAGATGAGAAACTGCTGCTCAGAGAGGTCATGAGACTGGTTAAGGCTACTCAGCCGGTGAGTGGCAGGACCAGAAACATACTCCAGTCTCTTGATTTCCAGGCTCCTGGTTGTATGCCCATCTCTAAGGCTTCTCCCAGTGTTAAAAGTCTGTGTTTGAGGCAATATGAGGTAATAATAAAAATAATAGCAGCTAACACTTATTGCTCAAAATAAAAATTATGTTGTAAGTAATCTGTGTCATTTCGGTTCTCTGGGAAGTAGTCACTGAGACAATCGGATGCGCAAGAAGTTTATTGGAGGAAGCCCTTATGAAAATAAAAGTGAGGAAAAGCAGAATTGGACAAAGACTGCCCCAGACTGGGATGGAGGTCTGAGAAAATCTTAGTGAACCCAAGGGGGAGCACCTGATTAAAGATTGCCCATCAGAGGAGTCCTGTATTGGGCAGAAATGATCAGTCCCTAGTATCCCTTCTATACTTAGTCATTGGCTGGAGATTGCTTGAACCTGGCCTCTGCTTGAAACCTGAGGTGAGTCTCTTCTCTGTGAGTCAGCTAGAGGGTGTCAGCCGATTGCCCTCCTCGTGGCTGAACAGCAAGTGCTTTGTTGAAGGGTGATCCAAGCAGCACACCTCCATGGCTGCCACATAGCCCAGGTGGCCCCAAAGTTTTCTAGCTTTCTGGAGTTACCTTCAATATCCAAATAAAGAGACTTAAGTCTCTATTCCACCAGTAATGAGAAATCCAAACTTTTCCCAATATTTCCAGAGTCTCAGGAAGGCTGATATTGAAAACTGAATGTTACACAGCAGTGTAAAGCTGGCTGTCCCACCACAGGAAGTTTCTCACTGGTCGTGTGCCTTTACTCCAGGCTGCTGTCATTTTTACAGTCCCCACCTGTGTTCATCCGCTGCCGCCTCTTTTTGCTGTTCCAGGATCCCCAACATACTCCCTGGCTGCCGGAGATCATTCCTGTTATCATACAGAGAAATCGAACTCATTTTTGCTTTAAGTTGCATTCCATGAAAACTCCTAGCCAGTCTGACCCTAATCGAAGGCCTCAAACAAGAGACACCCGCCCTGGCCCTGGCCCGATCGTTCTGTTGGTTAGAGCATCATCCCAATACACCAAGGTGTGGGCTCCTTCTTTGGTCAGTTGAGGTTGTGGGTTTGATCCCTGGTCAGGGGCACACAAGAGTCAACCAAGGAATGCATAAATAAGTGGAACAACAAATAGATGTTTCTCTCTCTCTCTCCTTTCCTCTGCCTCTCTCTAAAATAAAATAAAAATTTAAAAAGAGACATCTACCCTGAGGTAAATTCTGCTGCTTTTAATATTGTAGAAGTGATTGCTGGCATTTCTCTTTTTAAGTGACAATGTATTTTTTTCTCTGTGTTATATGGTTTACTCTGACATTTCTCCCACACTTACTGATTTTGATGTTTAGTTGCTCCTGGAGGAAGTTCAGGTTGTCTACTCCAATGGTTAAGGAAAGCTGATGGGAGGTGGCTGGGTCTACTTGGTCCTACACTCCACGCAGAGGCAGAGGCCAAGGCCTCGCGTTACCTGGAGATGGAGATACCAGCAACTCTTTCCTTTTTTTTTTTTTAAAGAGCTGTGGGGAAGAGTAGGGGGTCAGGAAAGGCTCAGGGTGTACTCCAGAGAGGGAGAGCGCTTTCCTTTTTTTTAAAACAAATTTTAAAAAAATTCCTCTCTCATTGCAGAGAGAGGAAGGGAGAAAGAGAAACATTGATGTGAGATAGAAACATGGATCGGTTGCCTCCTGTACACGTCCTGGCTGGGGGCTGAACTTGGAACCCAAGTATGTGCCCTGACCAGGAATCAAACCCGTAACATTTTGGTGTGTGGGATGACACTCCAATCAACTGAGCCACACTGGCTGGGGCAAGTGCTTTTCTTTTTTAAAAAACATTGTTTATGAAAACAGTCAACTTGAAACAGTATAATGAAGAACTATATTTAAAGAATGAGATTTCTTTATTTGTATAGCAAACTTCTTTTAAAAATATGTTTTTTAAATTGATTTCAGAGAGTGGAAGGGAGAGAGAGAGAAACATCAATGATGAGTCATTGATCCGATGCCTCCTGCACACCCCCTGCTGGGGATCGAGCCTGCAACCCGGGCATGTGCCCTGACCGGGAATTGAACTGCGATCTCCTGGATCCTAGGTCGATGCTCAGCCGCTGAGCCACGTGGGCCGGGCTGTATAGCAGACTTTTAAAGAAAGCAAATAGTTATGTACAATTGAACATCTTTCCCTCTAATCTTTTACCAATTTACCCCAGTTCATAATCTTATTCATAGACTTCAATTTGAGTGCTCCTTTGAGATTTATGAACTTCCCTAAAATGTCGGGTCAAAAACCTTCCTTTGAACTTTCAACTAACTTGTGGCCAAAATGCCTTGGGTTCTTCTGGCTGGTGGCTCAGTTGGTTGGAATGCCGTCCCATACACCAAAAGGCTGTAGGTTCTGTTCCTGGTCAGGGCACATACCTGGGTTTCGGGTTTGACCCCTGGTCTCGGTGCTTACGGGAGGCAACTGACAGATGTTAATTTCCCCCTCCCTCCTTCCCCCTCTCTAAAATCACTAAACACATCCTTGGGTGAGGATTTTAAAAATGCCTCAGGTGATCTTTTCAACTAGGAGATTATTAACTCCTTATCAGCACTGGAAGGCAGCCCGGTTATATTTCTCAATTTCATCTTGTCTCTAGACAGGCCCAAAAGGAAAGTGATGGTACATGAAAGCACCTGCGGTTGCAGTCTCTCTCTTTATATTTCTTTCTAATAAGAAAGCAAATTTCCATTTCCCAGAAAGGGTCAAGAAATACCTTTCTCCTATTTAACTGATCGAGATAACACTGGCATTTAAAATCAAAAGTACAGTTTACAGATTAAATAGTTTTACTGATTTCTTTACCAATTGCTCTCTATATAAACTTTGTTTAGATACAAACTGCTTTCTGGTATAGCAAAATAATTTAAATTTTATATCAGAGAACAAGTCTTAATACAATCACTTTATGGAAGGGAAGTCACAGGCAGAGGATTTCAGTGTGACCAGGAGCATTCTGGGACAGAGTCATGAAAAAGCAGGACTTGAATCATGTGTAGGCGAGGGTCAGATAGATTGGGGGGCTGTAGAGGGGAGCAGATGAATAAAAGCATGAGCACAGCTGAGGGCAAAGTGAACATAGTTAGGTTTGGATGACCACGGTAAGAGTAGTTCAGACTGATTTGGAAAAGGTCTGGAAAAATATTTAGGGTGAAGCATGTATCAGTCAACTAAAAATATATAGGCCTGGCCGGGCGTGGCTCAACAGCTGAGCATCGACCTAGGATCCAGGTGATCGCGGTTCAATTCCCGGTCAGGGCACATGCCTGGGTTGTGAGCTCGATCCCCAGTTGGGGGTGTGCAGGAGGCAGCCGATCAGTGACTCTCTCATCATTGTTTCTATATCTCTCTCTCCCTCTCCTTTCCTCTCTCTGAGATCAATAAAGATACATTATATATATATATTTATATTGCTTCTTGCCAGGTACTGCTCTAGGCAGTGGTGACAAGGACAATGTTTTCTGCAGTGAAGAAACTTAATGTTTGTGATGTGATGCGGACAAAAAATAACGATGTAAATATTTTAAAAAGACAATTTCAGAATCATTGATTCATCTGATTATGATAAAAGAGAATGAAACAGACTAAAGCCACAAGATTTTTAAAAATTGTGTGCCCTTTCAGGCAAAATTATCATAGGCATCCCCTGCATGTATGTTTATTCTTTTGTTAGTTTAATTTTCATTATTAGTATTACCTTTCATATGGCTTTCTTAGTAGGAATCTTTAAAACCACTTGCCTGTTTCATAAAGTTTAGTTTAGTTAGCAATCTGTCTTATAATCTTCATAATCCTGGTTTTAGTTTAGAATTAGCCGAAGAGGACTGTGCCACAGTAGTGGCAACCCATTGTCGCAATGGGCAGAAAATGACTGCCTGAATGAGGGCACATGCCAGTCCCTCCCAGTTGTGGAATTCTCAGTTTTCTGCAGGGAATCAGCCTGTGACAGACCACGGCCAGACAAATGCATTAACTGAAGATGCCAGTATTCAGAGCTACAGTAATCTTCAGTTCTTTTTTGTTAGAATGTCAGCTATATTATGTTCAAATATATGTTTTAATGAATGTTATATTCTCACTTCATCCACCCCATAGGGAGCATCCCCCCACTTTGGAAAGCACTGCACTAAGAGGGCCTGGGAGAGGACTGCCATTTCACTAAGGGTGATAAGGAAGGAGACTGTGAGGTGACATCTAAGCTGAAACTCAAATGATGAGGTGGGAATAGCCATGCAAAGGAGAGGATTTCAGGCTCCGGTATCATTTAGGGAAGCAGAGCCACTCTGAGCATTATGGAAGTAAAGGACTTACTGCAGGAATCAGAACTTACACAGATGAGGGAGGATCTCAAGAAGGGAACGTCTGGGAGGACAGCCAAGGGATTGGAGAAAGATTCGCTGACGAAGCCATCAGAAGCACTGGTACAGTTGGAACATGTAAGAGCTCACAAGAAAAATCCAAGAAGCCAAGCCTGTCCAACTGCCAAACAGGGATTGCTAAGGGCCTGTGGGAAGCTGTTGCTTCTGTGTAACTACAGTTTCTGTGGGTAAACTTCCAAGATCTGGTGGAGGGCCTGGGACCATTGTTGGTCATGAGGCCAACAGCCATGAAAACAAGGTGAATGCGGACAAGAGTAAGGGTAAGCTGGGACCCATGGATACGAAGGTGTCTGTCATTTTACCTAATCAAGAGTAATGGCCACTCCTACATTTCTTTTATAAATCTCACACAGGGAAGGGGATTCTTGGAAGCACAGTTCCCAGCTTAACCAAGCTGATATGGCACAACCCAGTACAACAGGGAACAGCGTACACAAAGGCCCTGAGAAGGAAATGAACTCAGTGTGCTTGACAGAAAGAAGGGGAGGCTGGGGCTCAATAAATGAGGGGAGAATAGAGGGAGTGTGGTCAGAGAGCAGACAGAGCTTAACTCACATATGGCTTGGTAGACTGTGGTATGATTGACTTAACTCTAAATTACTGGATTTTAAGCAAGGTGGTGGTATTCTGTGAGTTATCCTTCGAGAGGATCATTCTGGCTGTCATGAAGGGAAGAAGGGAAGGTTAAATTAGAAGGGAAGGGGCAACAGGAAAAATAGGAGGCTATTATGGTAGCCTAGAGACAATGATGGCCTGCACTTTGAGTATAAACATACAGATAAGAAACACTGGTCAGTCAGGCGTTTAATCTCACTCCTCCAACAAACTTTTTCAGTCCTGGAAACATTTCTCTGTGTATGATGTGGAACACCCTTCGTTGCGAGGAAGGGACACAGAGGTAAGGGAAGGGTGGAAATGACAAGAAGCACTTTCTCTGCACCAAGATCTATGCTGGGTCTTTTCCTCAGAACAATCCTGAATGAGGAAACTGGTGCACAAGGAGGTTAAATAGTATAAGTGAACCAAGGTCACACAACTAATAAGTGGTGGGCTTTTGACCTTAACCCAGATATCTCAGAATCTAGAATCCTGCTGTCTTTCAGGTTAAGGCCCTTGTGGTTAGTCATGTCCACAATCAGCAGCTGCTACCTGCCCAAATGCCACACCTGTCTGGCCTCCCAAGTGTACCTCAAATGTACCAGGCTGATATTCTTTTATTTATTTTTTATTTTTAATATGTTTTTATTGATTTCAGAGAGAAGAAGAGGGAGAGACAGAAAGAGCAATGATGAGAGAGAGTCATTGATCGGCTGCCTCTAATTAAGAATCAAGCCCGCAACCTGAGCATGTGCCCTGACCAGGAATCAAACCGTGACCTCCCAGTTCATAGGCTGATGCTCAACCACTGCACCATGCTGGTCAGGCCAGGCTGATATTCTTTGTCCACTCTCAACCTTCTTAGAGTCCACACTGCGTAATATCTCCAGCCCAAATTTTCTGTCTCTTATCTTATGCCTAGATCTCTACCATAACCACTATGGCGTTATAATATTTTAAAAATACATACTTTCAGAACATAGAAAAGAGGACATTTTTGTTTGTTTCCTGGGTGTATATCTCATTGGAATAGAATTATCCTTCAGGATTAAGAAATAAATTTCATTTCACATAACTTTTATAAGTCAAAGTTGTTATAAGGCATTGTTGTCAAATTTTCCATAGAAGTTTTTTTTTCCTGTCTCCAAAGAGCCCTTTAAAGGGCTCCCATGGCTTTATCTCAGTTACACCTTATCTGAGATGAAAGCAAATGAGTAAAGACATGTGAGAATTATTGTTAAGCCTGCATAGTTGAGGTATATGTTCAAGATACTAAAAAAAAAAAATCAAGATTTGTTTTCTGATTAATGGTCCATTTATTGATACCACTGTCATTTAACAATGAAACTATTTCAGAGTACAAGGTATATATGCCAATACTGCTTTGAAGTTAATTATTCACTTAGAGAGTATACATGTATATATGAATGATGGTTATCATGCACATGTCATAACATGGTTTCTGGTTATTAGTTAGTCCACTTTACCTATGAGATGCATGACAACTGGGTCCCAGACTCTCAAATTAGGGAACATTTAGATTTTTCAGAAAAGTTACATGGAAGGAGCTAGAGTTTTGTGATTAGATAGGATGCTGTTGGGTGAGATCACCACTGCACAGCACTGAAAAATCATCTGTGGTGTAAAGAGTAACAAAATTTGGGCATTATATGTTTAAATTCTGGCCAAAGACATCCTGTCTTACATAGTTTACTGAATCTCCTCTTTAAGAGAGTTTCTAAGCCCTGCAGAGGGTAAGTGAGCACCCACCAGCCATGTCTCCGCTAACATGATTTGCTGCTCCCTCTAGCTGTTGGTATCTTAATACTTCCTTTCTTCATAAGACCTGGTGAGGTAATCAATAATCACAGTACTGTACAAACTCTGAAAAAAGTTTAATGACATTTAATGACAATGAAATTCATATTTACCTAAAATGAGTTTTCAAAAGGATGTTGGTGGCTTTCTTGTCATATCATAGAAAACTGAGGCTTGTCAGGAATGGTACTGAAGGAGTTTTTGTATGGGGTGGGGAAAGTTTGGACACTGGTTGGTTTCCAAAGCGCCTTGTAAGATTACCACTGTAAGATTCTGTGATTCTAGGCACCCTGTGTATTTTATAAAAACAGCTCAGAATATCCATAAATGTTTAAACATTTCCTTCTTATCCACTCAAGAGGCCAAGTTAACATCCTGTCATAAGACAAGGATGTTGTATCACCCCAGATGCCTGTAGGGACAATGGTCGGAAGGTATGAGGTCACCAGGGGTTACGCAATATTGAGTAGCCAATAGGTAGCCAGCTCCTGGTCTGAAGAGATGGCCTGGTTTCCCTTCTACCTGTAACAACTGTAATTAAGAAATTATTCAAAACCTAGTTCCACAGTATATGAGACACAGTGGTAGATTCAGGGAAATAAACTGTGGCCCTTGCCCTTAAGACGCTGGAGAGAGAACACAAAAAATAATTAGGAAATAATGAAGTGCTCACCTGTGCAATGTGGACACAAGTGAAATACGAGTGTTAAGCTAATCCAAGTGTCCAGAAGGTTTTATTTAAGAGGTAAGATTGAACTGAATCTTGAAGCCTGGGTCAAGTGAAGGTGAGTGGGAGAAGAAGGTATTCCTGTGGGGTGTCGGGGAAGTAATGAGAAAAGAGTAGATCCAGGTCAGCAAGATCATGGCCTACGAAGCACTGAACTGTGGTAGGACAGGGAGGAACTGGCTTGACGGAAGCAAAGGGGAACAGTAGAAATAAAGTGCTCAGCCTGGCAAGGCAAGATTGGGTCGCATGGCCTCAAAAGTGAGAGAGAAGGTTCTGAAAGCTATGTGCTAGTGTTCTCCTGTGGTGGTCCCCATGAACAACCAGCATTTCCCTCTCAGATACATTGCATGTGAGGCCTATAGGCGGATTCAAATACAGATGCTGATGGCCACGGCCGTTTGGTGAGGTCCAGCTCAATTCCAAACTGCTTGGCTTACCAGCAAGCCAACCAGCTGGGGCATGCTGACGTGTGACTCAGAACATTCCCCGGAAACTGCAGGTTGTGGTCTTGGAAGCCTAGGGCTGCTCTCCCCGGCAGCTGTTGTGTGTGAGATGTGATTGTGTGGGCATCTGTCCACATGTGGGTGTCACTAACAGCCTGCTCTTAAGTATAATGAAATTCAGCTGGCTATAGGCGGAAGACTAAAGACAACTGTAGCCTCTAACAATTTGTAACGTTTGGACTTTAAAAGCCACTTTCTGGCTTTAATTACAATTTTATAATGATGCTGTATAATTTCTAGTTAGATCAACAAGCTTATAGATTAAGGTGCCATCCCCTATTGGAATTATTTCAGTATCATTAAAATGAACCTTTTAAACACAAAATACTTGTGGGTAAATGAGGACGTTGAGATGGTTTAACTTTTAGAAGTTTCTGCTTTTTTGATATTTTTCTTCCTTTCTTCTGTTTTTTCTTTTGGCTGACCTGCAAGGAGAGGGGGAGAGGGGCAATGTTTCTTTATCTTCCCATTTTTCCTCTCTCATATTACATCTGAACTTTCCAGACTGAGGCCCTTCTTCACCCTCAAAACCGGCTTCAAGTTGCTTTGCTCTCAGAGGGGCTCCTTTTGATTCTCTCTACTTCACCCACTTCGAGGAGGGGGCAACAGCCTTCTAATTGGTCTCGTACATTCTCCTGGCTTATTTCTACCCTCACTCCAACCCTGCTTACAGCCTAACTGTCCCAGGTGCAACCTTCTGAGGTTGGTACTATTATCATCTACTTTTTACCTCTGGGGAGGCTGAGGCTCGGAGAGGGTGACTTGCCCGAAGTTGCACAGCTAGTATGTGACAGAACCACTAGTCTGTCAGACTCTGGAAGCCACACTCCCGGCTACAAATGCTGTGGCCCTCTTCAAACATAACTCCTTAGCATGTCACACGGGAGCCTTCCCACTCTGTCCCGGTCTACTTTTTGACCTCAGTCCCTTAATTCCCTCCATACAAACTCCACACACATTACTTGAGGCTCCCTGAACATGGCAAGCTCTCAAGAGTCTACTCTTTTTTTCCACGATGTCCTTGCCCTCCTGGTGAACTACTTATCCTTCAAAATAGCAGCACAATAATATTTGAAAAATGTACCTTTAAAGGAACTACACAGATTCTTTGTCTTCCAAAGTTAATTTCTAAGAGAAAGAAAATTTTGTTCCTTCTTTTCACCAACCTGTTTCTCCCACTCTTGAACCAATTTCTTCACCTTGGTTGAATCTGGATTTAGACATATTTGATCCCCGCTCCTCAATGTAGCGCTGTCAAGGAAATAGCAACATGGTTTTAACTTTTAATAATTTAAATGCTTCCTCTTATCCTCAGAATTCAATTTCCCAATTACAGTGTACTTTTGTCATCACTCTAAGCATCTGAGGCTTCCAGTCTTTCTCCTGCCTTTTCATTTTCTAAATGAGTGAGCGGACTTAGGTAAATTTCTAGGATAGCATATAACCATAAATTTTAAAAATCCAACAGGTATATGAAATGGGAGAAATTTGTATAAAGGTGATATTGGTTATTTTATTCTGGAAATAGCTATTTAAGCTTAATGGAAGAAGCACATGGAAAAGCTATCAATATACCTACTTTTTTCCAGAAACAATGAAAATCAGCATGAATTTTGCCAAATTTTCTAATGAAACTACTTAAAACATAATGAAATGTTATCCTAAAATGAAGGAGGTCCACAAAGGAAAGAGGGGAACATCTATAATACTTTCAATAATAAAAATTTTTAAAAAAATCAATAGACTGGTTGAATTTTTAAAAAATTACTTATAGCAGACTCTCCAGAAATAATTCAAAGATTTTTTCCTTTAATTTCGCAGTATAATCTGAGACTAAGAGTAGCCTTCTACATATCATCCTTGATTTAGACTTTGAAAGACTTAAAGTATGCATATACTTTAATTTAGCAATTCTAATCTCTAGAAAGGTATTAATAGGAAAGAATCTAAAGTACAATATTGCCATAATAATTTGATTTCAATAGCAAAAAATTAGAAATAACCTACATTTAGGCATTGGTCATATAGATTATGGTACATCCACATGATAGAATATAATTTGGCCATTAAAAATGACATTATTAGCCCTGGCCGGTGTTGTTCAGTGGTTACAGCATCAGTCCACAGACCAAAGGGTCACAGGTTCAATTCCTTCGTCAAGGGCACAAACCTAGGTTGCAGGTTCCATCCCTGGCCCCAGTTGGGGCCCGTGCAATCAATGTGTCTCTCTCACATAGATGTTTCTCTCTCTCTTTCTCTCTCTCTCTCTCCTCCCTCCCTCCCTTCACCCCTCCTTTTCATTCTTTCTAAAAACTAAAAAAATAAAAATAAAAATAAATGGAAAAATATCCTCCAGTGAGGATTCAAAAAATGACATTAGAAAAAAATGATATTACAGAAAATTTGCTGATATGAAGAAATGCTCATGATATAGTGTTAATGAAAAAGCAGATTATGAAACAATATGAAGGGCATAATTTTATTTTTGTGTATATATATTGTATTTATACATATATGCATATATACTAGTATTTTGTGTCTATGTATGTACACACAAAGCAAATGAGAGAGATCTGGAAAGCTACATACCAAGAAGTTAACAGTATTTGTCACTGGATGGCAGGATTATAAATAATATTTATTTTAATCTTTTGGGTTATCTGCAGTAAACATTTTCTAAAATCAACACGTATTACTTTTGTAATATGTCACCCTTTGTTCCTAATCTCTACCAGAAATTACTTGTTTTTTTTTGTTTGTTTGTTTTTTAGAAAAGAAAGAAGTAGGCCAGATTTGCAGAGGAACAACAATCTGAATTTTAAGTGTCTGTACGGGCAAGCATTTGAGGTTAATGATCACACTAAATTTAATGTTTCTGCCAACAGGATGCATGTGTGTTGGATGAGATTTTACTTACATGATTTCCGTTTTTTCACAAGAAGGGCTTGGAGAAAACTGTCTAAGGTCCTTTAAGGATTTTAAGTGGATCAGTCCTTGGTTGGTGTTGATGCAGAAACAGCGTCCCTTCTTCATTACTGGGGATCCTAAGGGAAAGAGAATGGATAGCACACACCGGTTTAGGGCGATGTCTCAATTTAGGCGATCCACCAAAATGATACATTTGACTTAATGATGGTTATTACTATCACTTACTGAGTGTCTAATACTCATTACCACAGACTTTGGAGTAGGTATTACCTTCATCTTATAGACAAAGAAGCTCAAGTTCAGAGAAGTTAGGTAAAGAACAAAGTCATTCAGCTTTTACAGGGCAGGTACAGAGCTTGAGTCCCAAGGCACTGCTCTTGATTACCATATTCTACAATCTTAGGAAAAAAGATTTTCACACATTTAATAAACGCCTATTGCAGGCCAGACACATGCATACCTAATTAGTGTGTGCTAGGCGGACCACAGCTTCCTAAGCAATTCCCAAAGCCCTTTATTATATGACCTTACTAGAATGCAGCTGGTGTTGGTTTAGACAGAAAGCTCTACATGTAATAACCAGTTACCACCACCTTCCTTGCTTTTGCTTTTCAACAGTGCTTTAAACTTCTGGAACTTCTTTGAAATACACTATTTTCATTCCTTAATTCTTTCATTCACTCAACATATATTTATTTACTCAGTGCTTACTATATGACATATATTGTGAGGTAGGTAGAAAAGGCATAACTATAAAATCTCCATTTTACAGCCGAGGAAACTGAAGTCCAGAAAAGTTCACTAATCTGCTCAAGGTAACAACAGTAGATCATAAACAGGTTAAAAACAATTTCTGTGATTATTGGACCTTTAATTGGTTAAGCACAGACATACTTATCAAGAAACAATATCAGAGTGACAAAAATAACTTAAAAGACAATCTTTAATCTCATTATCGCCCAGTTCAACAAACATTTATTTAACATTTACAACATGCCAGGAATTCACACCCCAAGACTGAGAAGACATTTTTGACTTGGCAAGTCTAAGATATGAACTTTGGATAATCACATCACTGAGAAGCTTTTATGAGTGACTCATATCACTTCCTGATGTGTGCACTGCAATCACCTCTACTGCGCAAAATCAAGAGGCTTTTACTTTTATCTCTGACTTTACTAGCCTAATACAGCTCTGAACCTCTTACCTTGAACTCCCATCAGAGTCATGAAGATGATACCCAAAAGGAGAGGAACACCACTTTTCTTCATGGCGGTAGAATGGAGTTCTACTGAGTTCAAGCCTGAGAAATTCTTTAGAGAACATGTTCTTGGGAACCATATTTATACAGGAAAGCCTTTTTCCTCCTAAATCTGATTGGCTAGTATTCCTGGCTGATCTAGAGAAATTGACCATAAACAGTTGTGCTAGGGGAAATCCTACTCTCAGATCCAAGGGAATTTCTGCATGTTTTATTTCCATTTCACATAAATGGGTGATTTATAGTAAAGGATGTGAAACCAGTATCAGTGGCAGACTCACCCAGTTGCTCACCTGGTGAACAATAGGTTTAATGACTATAATAATATCATACAACAAGAGCTGGAGATGTGGTTTCCAGATGGGAAACATTAAAGTCCAGATATGTAACACACTTTTCAAATTTTGTTACTATTTCTATAATATATGGCTAGATTTATTTTTTCTTAATCTGTGATAAATTAAAAAGCTTCTTAATTTCCTCCAGGACCAGGTCATTTTCTACTGTGATAAACTCACTTTGTTTTTTGTTTTCAGTGGGTTTTTTTGGGTTTTTTTGCCATTGCTTCTACAGTTTATTATTATTTTTAATGGTTAGATTAGTTAGAATAAGGGACCAGTTGAAAACAGACAAATGGGACTATATCAAACCTAAAAACTTCTTTGCTTGCATCAAAGAAAACAATCATCAGAGTGAAAAACAACCTATGGAATGGGAGAAAATAATTGCAAAACATATATCTGATAAGGAGTTAATATCCAGAATATATAAGAAAATCCTACAACACAGCAACAAAAAACAATTTAAAAATGGGAAAAGATCCGAACAGACATTTATCTAAAGAAGATATACAAATGGCCAATAAGCACATGAAAAGATGCTCAACATCATAAACATAAAAGATGGAAATGCAAATCAAAGCCACAATGATATATAATCTCATGTTCATCAGGATACCACTATAAAAAGTAGAAAATAACAACTGTTGGTGAGGATGTGGAGAAGCTGGAACCCTTGTGCACTATTGGTGGGACTATAAAATGGTGCTACCATTATGGGAAAGAATGTGGAGGCTCCTCACAACATCAACAATAGAACTGTATGATCCAGCAATTCCACATCTGGCAATAGGTCCAAAAGAATTCAAAGGCAGCTCTCAGATACTTGCTCACCCATGTTCATGGCAGCATTATTCACAACAGCCTAGTTGTAAAGGCGAAGTGACCCAAACGTCCATTGACAATGAATGCATGAAGAACGTGTGCTATGTACATGCAATGGAATTTTAGGCAGCCTTAAAAAAGAAGGAAATCTTGTCCCATGCCACAACATAGATGAACCTCACGGAGATTATGCTAAGTGAAATAGGAAGTCACAAAAGGACAAATATTCATCTGAAGTATCAAAAGTCAAATCTTAGAAACAGAAAGTAGAAGGGTGGTTGCCAAGGGCTGGGGAGAAGTGTGAAGTGAAATTAGTCTTCAGTGGATGTAGACTTTCAGTACTGCAAAATGAAACAGTTCTAGAGATCTATTGTACAACCTGTGAATATACTTAAGACTACTTAACTGTATACTTAGAAATGGTTAAGATGGTCAATTTCATGTTATGTGTGTTTGGTTTTTTTAACCACAATTAAAAAAAAAAAAAAAGAGAGCGAGAGAGTAATGCCCCGGCCGGTGTGGCTCAGTGTGTTGGAGCATGTCCCGTACACCTAACGGTCGCAGGTTCAGTTCCCAGTCAGGGCACATACCCAGGCTGCAGGTCTGATCCCCTGCAGGGTGCGTGTGGGAGGCAGCCCATGGGTTAATTAAGATAAAAGTGGATTTCTCCTGACAGAGGCAGGTGGATTAAAGTGTATGGCGGTTCTGTGTCACAAGGTCTCCTGGCTCTCTCTCACTGATTCACTGCCGTCTCTAGCTTGCTGCCCTCCTGCACATGGCCCAAGGGGGCTTTGCCACCATGTCTGCTTTCCAAGTACAGGGTGGTGGGAAGGCAGAAAAGGGCTTGTCCCTCCTTTTTAGATCCATCCTAGAAGTTGCACTCGTCACTTTCCATAGCCTCTCATAAGCCAGAACTTATTCACATGGTCACACCTAGCTGCAGGGGAAGTTAAGAAATGTGACCTTTATTCTGGTTGATCCACTAAAACTTGGAGGTTCCATTATTGTAGAACAATGTTTCTCAACCTTTTTTATTAATGCCTCTCCTGAGGTGAATTAAATTTAAATTAACTTAAATTTAAATTAAATTATGCCCTGGCTGGTTGACTCAGTTGGTGGGAGCATTGTCCCATACACCAAAAAGGTTGTGGGTTTGATTCCCAGTCAGGGTACATACCTAGGTTGCAGGTTCAATCCCTAGTCAGGGCACATATGGGAGGCAACTGACCAATGTTTCTCTCTCACATCAATGTTTCTTTCTCTCTCTCTCCTTCTCTCTCTAAAATCAATACACATATCCTTGGATGAGGGTAAAACATTTTAAATGAAATTGAATTCCTCCCTAAAGAAAATAATTAAACAGTCATGCACTGCGTAATGATGTTTTGGTCAACAACAAACTGCATATATGACGGAGGTCCGGTAAGATTTTAATGGAGCTGAAAAATTCCTATATCCTAGTGATGTAGTTGTTGCAATGTTATAGTATAAAGGTTGCAAAAACCAACAAGGCTGTGGTTGGAAGTGAACCCGAGACCCTTTGGTGCGCCGGTCGACGCTCTAAGCACTGGGAAACACGGGCCCGGGCAAGGTGGGTAAACAATTTTACCCTGAGTGTGGGTGAGGATGAGACTGAGGAGCTCTTAGAAGTTTTTCCTGAGGGACTGACATAGAAGGAATTGTTGGGACTGGAACAGGAACACACAGCTGAAGAAGAGGGAAGAGCAAAGGAAACCACTGAAGAAGAAAAATAAGAAACCTCAAGAAAATTCAGTGAAGTGCTTAGCAGAAGCTTTTGCAGACCTTAGCAAGCTCCTTATAAAGTCTGAAAACATGAACCTCAACACCAAAAGGTTTTCATTAATAGAGAGCGAGAAAGGAAAGGGTGTCTAAGCTGCCGCTCCAACTTGATCAGTAACCAAAGGAATAACAGTCAATTCCTAACCAAGGCCATCCGAGGGACCAGCCATGTATGCTTTCCAACAGTTCCAATTAAAAAGATAAATGATTATAGAAGGCAGTGCCTATTCTTTCTATAGCCTGATAAAAATGTAATTTTTAAAAATAATAATTAAAAAAAATAATTGCTTCCAGACTCCTTCCCCTGACTCCCAACTCCAGATGCTTGATGATCCTACCCTGTCTGTACACTGTCTTCACCTGGTAAAAATTAGATCCAGAGGCATATAAGCATGAACAGACTGACAAATCTCAGAGGGAAGGTGGAGGTGGGTGAGTGGGTGGGGAGAGATTAACCAAAGAACTTATATTATCTTAAGTGTTTGGAAGAGAAAAATGAAAGCAATATAATGACTAAATAAAATAAAGCTAAATTAAAAACAAACAAGGCCGGGTGTGGCTCAGCCGTTGAGCATCAGCCTGGGATCCAGGAGATTGCGGTTCAATTTCCAGTCAGGGCACATGCCTGGGTTGCGGGCTCTGTCCCCAGCTGGGGGCGTGCAGGGGGCGATCAATGACTCATCACTGATGTTTCTATCTTTCTCCCTCTCCCTTCTTCTCTCTGAAATCAATAGATATATTTTTTAAAAAATAAAAAAATAAAAACAACTGTTCACCCTTGAATGTATGCAGCTAAAACAGCTCGTGTACAGCTTTTCTTTGTCCTGCCTATATAAGCACCCCTCACTTTCCTCAAGTTGGAGCACTGTTCAAAGGTTTCTTGGAACTCTGCTCTTTGGCGTGTCCTCAAATGGGCCCAAATAAAAAAAACTTTTTTTAAGTCTACAAAAGTTCAAGTCTCCTTTTTGCTGACAAGAGGAATGTTCATGGTGCAGTATCTGCTTACAAGCAAATTTGTGATGAAAAAAAGAAGCGAACCGTATGAACATATTTCTGAAGAGTGACACCTCAAGAGCTTCAGGCAGGCCCTTTAGGAGGAATTCCAGAAAAAGGCATTGTTACCATAGGAGAGGACAGCTCCATGTGTTTTACTGCCCCTGAAGACTCTCCCTTGCAGTGGGACAAGATGTAAAGTTGAAAGATAATGATATTAATAATCCTGACCCTGTGTAGGTCTAGGCTATCGGGTATGTTTGTGTCTTAGTTTTTAAAAAAAAGTTAAAAAAATTTTTTAATGGCAAAAGCTTACAGAATAGGGATATAAAGAAAATATCTTTGTACAGCTGTACAAAGTATTTGTATTTTAATGTGTTATAAAAGAGTCAAAAGTTTAAAAAAATAAAAGGTTTATAAAGTTAGAAAGTTATAGTAAGTCAAGGTTATTATTGAAGAAGTTTAAAAAATAAATTTGGTGTAGTCTAAGTGTACAGTGTTTATAAAGTCTACCGTAGTGTACAGTAATGTTCTAGAACTTCACATTCACTCACCACTCACCCAGAAAAACTTCTAGTCCTGCACGCTTCATTCATAAGTGTCCTATAGAGACCTACTATTTTTTATCTTGAATACTCTATTTTTACTGTACCTTTTCTATGTTTAGATGTGTTTAGACACACAAATACTTACCATTGTGTTATTATAATTGCCTACAGTACTCAGTGTCAGGAACCAGCCTGAAGGACAAACAAACCTGAGTGTGAGTGATGGGAATTAAAGAGACAAAGTTATGGGATCAGGAGGGCTGCCCTCCAATGAGGTGCAGCCTCAAATGGCTTCAATGCCTTTATTAAATAGTAACAAACAACTGGTAAGGAAGTGAGGGTGATACAAAGCAGTTCTTCCCAGGCTGCACAAACACACTTTCAGCGTAAACATCCTGCCTCCTGCATGAGCTCAGACCTGTGTAACTATGTTCATTTTGGCTCCCCACAGGAACCTGCCCGGAGGGTGGAGTCCCTGGCTCCAGGCCCTCAGGCCACCTGGACCA